TCCCGAAACAGCTCGGCAAACGTTTCCCGAGCGAGCGCCGACCGTGAGCGGGCCACGGCCGGGCCGAGCCCGGGGACGGGCAGAGAACCTCCCGGCACGGTCCGGCCCGCACGGGGTCCCCTCCTCGGGCTGCCCCCTGGGGCGTCCCCTCCCCCCCAGTCCTGATCCCGCCGCTCGGTCTGCGGCCCCCACCCTCCAGCCCCGGCTGCTGGTCCCCCGCGGCCTCCCTTCACTCGGCCCCTCCGCTTTGCGCTTTGCTTCTCGCAGTGTTCGGCCGAGTGTGGGACCGGAATCCAGCGACGCTCCGTGGTCTGCCTCGGGAGCGGGGAGGCCGCTGGGGCGGGCCCGGAGGGAGCGGGAGCAGGAGCCGGCGAGCAGAGCTGTGCCCCGGGAAGCCGGCCCCCCGACATGCGTGCCTGCAGCCCGGGGCCCTGTGAGATGACATGGTGCTGGTACGCGGGGCCCTGGGCTGAGGTGAGCCGCGCGCCTGGGAGGGGTGCCCGTCAGAGGGGTCCCTGTGGGGATGGGGAGCGATCTCTGCGCCCCTTGCACACCGCCGCTTCCTGCCCCTCAGTGCTCCGCAGACTGTGGCCCTGGCACGCAGCGACGAGACATCATCTGTGTGTCCAAACTTGGGGCTGAGTTCAACGTAACTTCTCCTAGCAACTGTTCCCACCTGCCCAGGCCCCCTGCCCTGCAGCCCTGTCAGGGGCAGGACTGCCAGGACCGCTGGTTTTCTACGCCCTGGAGCCCGGTGAGTGCCTGCCTCCCTGACCCTGCTCAGCAGGGACTTCCGGGGACCGGGCGGCTCCTGTCACTGTACCCCGCTCTGTGCCCAGGGACAAGGCCAGCTGCACTTTAACATTGCCCCACTTCCTGCACACCTGGAGGACAGGTGGGTCCCCTCCGGGTGGGACATCATAATGTTTCAGGACGGTCCCTCTCACACTCCTTTCAGAGGAGGAGGGGGCCTGGGGTTCAGGAGGAGGCACAGCAGGGGTCTGACTTAGTAGCGGGGTCTCCCCAGTGCTCTCGCTCCTGCCAGGGCGGCGTGCAGACAAGGGAGGTCCAGTGCCTGACCGCCAACCAGACCCTCAGCGTCCGATGCCCGCTTCACCTGCGGCCCTCCAGGAAACGGCCCTGCAACAGCCAGCCCTGCAGCCAGCGCCCTGGTAAAGAGCCCGTCCCCAGCTCCCAGCAGAGCAGACTTAGCTGCAGTGCGGGTGGAGGCGAGGCAGGGCCAGTGAGAGTGGGCAACACTCCTCCAGAGGGATGGATGGCAGTGACCACTTTGTGCACACTGGCCTCCTCTGTCCCCAGATGATCAATGCAAGGACAGCTCTCCACACTGCCCCCTGGTGGTACAGGCCCGGCTCTGCGTCTATCCCTACTACACAGCCACCTGTTGCCGCTCTTGCGCCCATGTCCTGGAGCGGGCCCCCCCGGAGCCCGCCTGAAATGGGCCCAGGAGACCCTCACCTGATGGTTTCTCACGCCACCATCAGTCACCCATCCGTCAGCCCGCTCCGTACCCTCTGGCTCTCCAGCCTGTCCTGGTCTCACCTCCCCCAGGGTGGTCGAAGGTGGCGGAATGAGTGACGGTGACGGTCAGGACGTGTGGTTGGGCCTGTGCGGTGGTGTGACCCTGAGTGTGCACACGTGCCCCCGTGTGTACCCGGGCCTGCATGGAGGTGTGTGCGCTCATACGTGTGTGTCGCTTCTCACAAAGATGTTAAACAGACTGAGGAGGAAGGGGGAGGGGACGACGCCCGTTTCCCTGAGACTTTTCTAGGCTGAGAGCGAAGCCGGTTTGCAGCTCCTTAGTAACCCGAGCTGCTTAGCGACTGGCCCCCCATCAACCCCAGCCTTGCACCCTAAACCTCATTTCTCATGGTCGGGCCTCATATCTTCTAAACCACCCTTTTGTCCTCCGGCCCCCTACCCTTACTTGGTCTCTCTGTCCCTACGTTTCATAATTGGCGAGGGGTGGTGGTGGGCCACGGCCCACCCCACCTGACCCCGGGAAGAGAGGCCCTGCAGCCAGCGGGGACCAGCTGGGCAGAGGCTGGAGAGAGAGATGAGAATAAGGCAGCCCGGCCCCCGCTCCCACCTCCCGACATGCTTCCCGCCCCACAACTAATTTATTTTTTATTAAAGAGGATTATGACAAATGAGAAAAGGCTCTTTATTGTTTTCATGGGAACCCAGCCATACAAGCCACCTAAATGAGCAGGGTGTGGTCAGAATGAAGGGTGGGAAGGGAACAGCGCTCAGAGCCCGGGCGCAGAGGGCTCGGGCGGGAAGGCTAACGAGTGAGCCCCGTCACCCCAGATGGGAGGGAGAGGATCCCGGCTGGCCGTAGGCCCTGCAGCTTGGCCACTGACCACTAGAGGTCGCCACTCCTCCCAGTTTAGATATGGAGTCGGGAGCTTGGGTCCAGAGCCGGGGAAAAACGGCCAGGTCTACGGCCGTTTGGTGGCTTTCCTAGTGGGCCGAGCCTGCCCGGAAAGCCTCTCGTCACCTAGCAGCACTTTCTTCAGTCTGGGGCTGAGCTGAGTGGCAGCTGGCTTTTCCGGGGTCTTTTTTTTCCTGTTCCCTTTCTTTGGCCCCGCCTTCCTGCCGCCTCCATCCTTTCTGCCCTTACGTATTTCCCTATTAAGCTGTGGGTTTATTGCTCGTCGTAGTGCGGGGGAGAAGGGAAGCGATTTCCGCCCCTCCCCGCCCCCACCGGCTGGAGGAGGAGGAGCCTGGCCTGGCTCCAGGGGACTTGGGCGGAGTCAAGACGGTACAGGATGTCCTGCCAAAGACATTCTTCTGAGATGTCTCACCCTAGTCGCCTCCCTCCTGCCACCCTCACCCATTTCATCTCTCAAGGTAAATAGCCTGCTGGAGGTGGTGTGAGAGCCACAGCCTTCTCCGTGGTCCAGGTCCTCGCCCTGACCCCACGGTTCCGAAGGCCGAGGCCAGACTTCCACTCCTGGAAGCCACACTTCCCAGGGGATCCTGTGCCTTGGAAAGAGAGCAACAGAACCCGACTCCTCTCCTGCCCGCCCACCCCTCTCTGCACCTGCAGAGAGAGGGGACCTCAGTGCCTACTGTGTCCTGAGCCCACCCCCACCCTCTGAAGGACAGGACTTGTCTGCTCTGGCAGCTTCCTCGCGTCATACTGTCCCTTCGGGAGTCAGGCTCTCCCGGGGCTAGAAGTGGCTGAGAAGAAAGACTCTGGACATCTTGAGAGGGAGGAAGGACACGAAAGGGAATGAGGGGAAGGAAAATGCAATTAGCCCACGGCAAGGGGTGAGCGAGGAAAGGGGGTACAAGGAACCCCGACTGTCTCCGTGTCTGCGCAGCCTCAACAGGAACACTAAAGAGACCTGTTCCTCTCTGGTGACCCTGCAAGGGGATCAAAGATGTGAGGGACCAGGGAAGTGAGATCTGAACCCACCCAGCAGATACCGCGGACGGAGGGAGGAGTCCTCAGCCGAGGGAGGGGGTGGTGGTGAATAGCTGGGCCCTCCCAGCGATTCCTGGAAGCTTCTGGGCTGGGCCCGTGCCCCAGCTCCGCCGCGGCTCAGCTGACTTCTCCGAAGTTCCCCTCCCTCGCAGGCCCATGAAGGCTGTTGCTGGGCAGGTTTGGAGTTTGGCCCGAGCTGAGGACCAATCACAGGTGGGGAATGCCGCCGCAGCCCCTCTTAGGGCTCCCCCGGCTTCAGCACCTCCTTTCTCGCTCCGATGGCCTCTGAGCTCCCCTGGGGCCTCCAGTCACTGCCTTCTCAGGAAGTGGGCTCTCATCTGGGGGGTGCCCCCTGCCCCTCTCATTTTAAAGCTAAGATTCAGTGCAGCCCCTGAGGGTTGTTTCCTCTGGTCACTGAGATCAGTACAGGTCCGTATGGAAGCTTTGAGGATGGGGACCTTAACCCCAAGCCACCCCTTCTCCTGGCCCCTGACAGGGGAGCAGTGTGGCCAGACACCTCAGAGTTGACCTCCAAAGCCCCCTAGAGGGACTTGTGAGAGAGGAAGCTGCAACCCGAGGCCAGCGAGGTGCGGTGGAGCGCCCCCGAGGTCTGGCGCACTGGGGGGCATTTAGGGAAGGACTCGGAGGAAGTGCACCCCTGAGAACGGAGGTGGGGGTGGGGCGGCCATGGGAACAACTCTGTATGCACACCGAGGTGCGGCCTGCAGAAGGCCAGCAAAGCGCGGAGGACTCCTCACTTCTGAGTGTTTGCGAGGAGATCGGGGTTCTATGTCACCGTACTTGGGGGTGAACCCGCGAAGTCTCAGTTCAGCTGGGTCAGAATTCCTCTCTCCTCCCCAGGGTATTTACCCAATTAAGCTGCGGCCTTCAGACTAAATTTAGCTCCTAGACTTCCCCAGCCCCCTGGGCCTCCCTGCAAGCAGGTGCTCACAGCTGCGGGGCTGGGTCTGTGGGGCGAGTCACTGTCAGCTCTGTGGTCCAGATTCGGCCTCTGGTGACCAGGAGTGGAGCGGAGCGCAGGGACACAGTGGCTGGCCAGGACGCAGGGGTCTCGACCTTAAGGCACCTCCCTCAGGGGCCCTTTGGAGGATCTGGGGGGCGGGGCCTGCGGGCGGCAGAGCGGTTGAGTGAGGCCACACGCGAGGAGCGGCACCCCTCCAGGCTCCAGCCAGGTCCTCTCTCGTTTCCGGTTTCCCTTTCGCCCCAGTTTTTGGAAGAGGGACTTCGTTTTAACTCAACAGCTTCCCCCAGCAGAGTAAATTGAGTCAAGGAACTGTCTCCTCTCCCTGAACCCTGGAGAATCATGCAAGACTAGACGTTGTAGTTTGCGGCTGTGTGGGGTGGGGGTTTCTAGGGGAACCCTACCCTCTCCTAGAACACGCCTCAAATCCACCATGTCTGGTGCCAGGAGTCACTGGGTGGGGAAGTCGGAGCAGAGGGGGCTTATTTGCGACAGCCAGGTGAGGAAGAGGTGTCAGCTTTAAAGGGCGGGAGGCACCTTCTACAGGAAGCAGCCTCAGGAAAGTACCTAAGTTTGTCAACAAGAGTGATATTTGTGTTAACCTCAAGCAAGACAGCACAGATCATGAACTTGACTTTGGGCTCCTCCAACCGAGACTGAGGAAAACTCGAGGGGAGGGCCTTCCAGGGCTGAGGGTGGACAGGATTTGAGGGAGGGGCGTGCCAGACCCGTCTGCCGCCCAGCCGAAGGGGCAGCACAGACATGGCTTGGAAGCAGCCCGGGCAGGCCTTTCTCCCAGCACCAGAGAGCTGGGTTTGGCCAGGAAAGGACCTTGCTCCTGAGAGGAGGGTGGTTCCGTTACAGAAGGTCTCGGGCTGGGGTGAGGATGCGTGTGTTCTGAGCTTGGCCCGAATCTCTTGACGAAACAGCTCTATAGTGAGGAGGAAAAGAAACTGGGGGCGAGAGTGTGGGGTCACCCGTAAAAAGGAGCAGACTTATCCTGGGGGCCCTGGGCTAAAAGGCGAAGGCCCCGCCCTGCCCTGGAACCAGAGAACCCTTCTCTCCTTCATCCCCTCACTATTGACTCTTGACTGCCTGCCACTTTCGTCACTGAGTTAGGCTCCTTTTCAGCTCCAGGAGAGGAGAGGGCACACGTTTTCTCGAAAGGACAGGGAGTAAGTATTTTCGGCTTTGTGGGCCACAGCATCATCTCCTGCAAGGCTTCACCTCTGCTGTCGCAGCCCAGAAGCGGCCGTGGCCAGTACGCAAACGAATGGGCGTGGTGGCTGTGTTCCCATCAGACATTCTGACGCCAGAATTTTAATTTCATATAAACGTGTCACAAAATTTAATTTAAGTATGGAAAAACCGATCTTAGCGCATGGGCCATACGAAACGGGTAGTAGGGCCGATCTGGCAGGCAGGTGGTGTACTGACCCCTGGGACTTCCCCCATCTGGCTGAACTGCTCTGCCCAGCCATAGGAAGGCCTGTTTACCTCTGCTCTGCTCTGGGCTTCAAAATACAGCTGTAGGACCTTTTAATTCGGCCTCCTACCTACCGATGCCGCTTCTTAGTGGCTTCTCCCTGGGAATTCGATGACTTGGAAATGACTACTAGAACAAACAAGGAATATTTCTCAATGTTCCTTACATTTGTATAGTCTCTCTTTAAATCTTCGCAACAGTTAACACAGTTCAATGCAGTTTACAGGGGAGAAAAATGAAGGCCTGACACCGCAGTCTAGTCTTTTCACCTTTTAGATTGTCAGGCTGGGGAACTTTCTGCCTTACTCCTTGAGTTCTTCTGGCTGCTTGAATAGTTCAAATGACATACAGCAGATCAACAGGAAGAAATAGAATTTGAATACGTGCGCGCAATGGGAAATTCACAGAAGCAGGAAAATTCCAAAGAGAGTGAAGTAGAATGAGGCATATATGTCATAATGCTTTTGTACTAAGCAGGTGGAGGTGGCTGAGGGGACCAAAGTTCTGCCACCACAAAATACGCCTTTTGGAATATCGATTTTAAGCTGGTTTTTCAGAAACAAAAGACTTAGGAAAAAACGTTCACCTTTCAACTACCTAAACGTACACCTGTAATAAACTTTGGATATTTTGTACAACCGTAATAAATTTTGGACATCCATAATAAATTCTGGACATTTTCTCCCGCTAATCTGTCTGCTAATTGGATTATTAGCCTAGCCAGAAGAATTTTAAAAGGTAGGAAGAAAATTATTTTCACACCCCCACATAGGCAATCCACAGGTAGCTGAGAAAGAGCAAACATTTGGAAAACAAATAACTTGCAGGGCCACCCAGAAACAATGGGACAAAGGGGACTCTAGCAAACAGATTTTTGCTGGGATCCTCCCAGTCTGCTACACTTGCTTCATGTGCACTAAGGCACTAATGCTAAGGTCTCCTTCCTGAAGCAGGTTTTCTGTCTGAATCTCTGGGCAGGTGACGGGGAGGGAAAGCTCTTCCTGGGTTCGTTGGGCTTTATTCCCAGCTGGAAATAATGAGTGAGAGCCAGGGTGGCCACATTCTGGGGAGCCTCCCTCATGACCCCCACAAAATCCAACCTAATTCCTTTGTTCTGTTTTTCAACTTCACCCCCACAGCCACCCTTTATCAAAACACTCAGTAATTTGGGCCACAGTGATCCAGATCTTGAACGGTTTTAAGTGTTGTTTTAAATGTCTTTCGTGACATTTCAGCATCTTAGGAAAATCTTGTCTAGATTTCATTTTCAACCCAAAGTTGTAAGGAATTAAAAATCTTTGCACATGTATACAGTATTTGGGTCCAAGGAAATGAAAATAAATATAGTTGGTCTTTGTTTAAAAGCAGTGCAGCTGCATTTCTTTTAAAATAATCCTTATCAGGGTTTGCTTCCAAATCGTTTCTTTCATTCACTAGCATTGCTAATAACTTCATGGGTCACGATGAGGAAAGGAAGATTCAGGTGTCTCTATCCTCATTCGGGTCTGACCCCAAGTACCAAATTTGGAAGTGGGGGGAAGGGGCATGGAGGCAGGAACACTCCCCAACATCGCCAAAGCCGAAAACAAGACACCTCATTTCAAAATACACAGACGTAGACAAAACTTAAGTTCATTTCAACACAAAGTTGTTTCCCTCTTTCTGTTTCTCTACTTGCCTCATGAGGGATTTCTGAGAAATGAAAAAATGTCACCTCCCACAGCTTCGAGTCTGGGGTTTTTTTTCATGATGAAAAGAGAGGGTTAGGGGAAAGGAGCTGCTTAAACATTTAGTATTAACCCAAAACTTAAAGAAATGCCCTTCCAGTTGGGGGTGCGGCCCCCACCTCGCCTTAGATCTGGGCTTTCCGGGTCTAAGGAAATAAACAAGCTATCCTCCCAGGAAATTTCCGTGACCAGCAGCGAAACCTAACAGCTGCTCCTTGCAGAAGCCCAGCTGTCCCCCATCTCCACCCCATTGCCACCGATAGGAGTTGGTTGGGAACTGTTCCCGGCAGCCTCAGGAATAGAGGTGTGAGCTGAGGATGGAAAGCAAGGGAGATCTGAGCATAAGATTTAGGAATAAAATGCATATGAAAGATGTTTCCTGGGAAAATCCCCATCCACCCCCCCAAAAAAAACCCTGAACACACGAGAGTCCTCCTACCAGCCTGCTAAGGGACACTAGGAAGGGTGCAGCAAAATTTTGCAAACCAGCTCCTTCTTCTAGACAAGAAAATTAATTCTTTGGGGCACGGAATTCAAGCGTTTCTTAATCAAAATGAAGTGGAAAATCATCGAATCCAGGATGAAACCTAAGAGTTAAACATTCTTTGCCTCGTTTGTGTCCTTGGCTCTCTTTCCCAGCACACCTTGTCCCGGGCTAGCTTGAATAAACATACACATGTGACCACATGAGGGCGGGAAGAAAACCAAGGGGGGTGGTGAAATTCTGAATGGAATGCGGCCCCGGCTAGTTAGGTCCGGGGCTGATACCTCTGGCGCTGGCTATGGATTTATACAGGCAGAGAAGCCAAAACAATGAGCTCACAGGCGAGAACGCAGCCATGGGGAAGTCTGGGCAGTCAGAGCAAACTGGTTTTTTGAACCAGGATGGGACTGGCTGTAAGTCTCCCACGGGAACCCCGCGGGACCAGGATTAGGGAGAGGGGAGCCACTATTTAGTACCTAGGGGATCCAGTTAAGTAAGTGTGGGCGCTGTTGCTTATTAGAACTCTGTACTGAGAGAGCACAGCACTCGGCCCGGATTGAAAATCTGGGTTCCTTGCCCTGGTAGCTGCACCGGGGTGGGGCTATCCCAGGTGATGCTCTCAAGATAACTTTATTCAGAGCAGGTCTGCCAGGGCCAGCTCCTGCACTCAAGCTCCAGTGGTGGCTGTGATCCTGAGATCGCGTGTGTTCAAGGTCACCATTTGCAAATGATAAAGGAAACAATCCTTGAAGCCTATTCTCTTTACTTCTCAAATAAACACAGTGCACCCAGCTCTGTGTCATTTGTAGCAAATTCTGACCTCTAAGACCAAAGAGACCTTTTTTTTCCTACCAGTGTTTTCCAATATTTTTATGTGTAAGGTCCCAACAGGAAGAAACTGAAGAGATCTTCAGTCACTGGCCATGTATGGTGAAAAGAAGTCGGGAGGGAAGACGAAATGATGACAAGAAGAAACTTATCTACAAATCTCCCCTTCCCCCCGACAGCCGCAGAGGTGCTTTCCCAACTCCATGCTCTTGTGTGTCCTTTCTGCGGGTTCTTTAAGATCCAATCTCAAATGCATCTTTCGAAGCGTTCTGGACCACCTTCTGCTTCCGGAAGTTGCCACCCTGCTTCGTCCCACCCCTCATCATACCTTTACTATAGCACTTTGTGCACTGCATTCGAATTATTTTTATCCACAGTTATCACTCTTGGATCGTGAGCTTTAACATTTTGGCATGAATCATTCTACGGATTCGTCATCCACAGATTCTTCAGGATGGATCTCTTAAAAACAAGGACGTTCTTACATAACCACAATATACTACCCTCTGAAACTCAACACTGATATGGCGCTATCTAACATATCGCCAAATTAAAACATCTCCAGTTGTTTCCATGTCCTTTATAGCTTTTTTTCCATCCAGGATCCAAAGATCACCCTGCATTTAGCTGCCATGTTTCTTTCGAGTGTTCCCTAGTCTTTTTTGACCAAGTTTGAGGGGAAGAAATATTCTCTTTATAATTCCAGCATCCAACCGTGCACGGTATCCAGTAAGCTGCCCACTGCCACATAATGAAGACATTCAACAAACATCTGGCTGCCTACGGCTCATTAAATGTCCCAGCTCACCAGTGTTGAAGAATTCTTAATCAACTACGGTAATCCCTGAACAGGACATGAGGAGAGAAGGTGAAGAACACAGAAACCAGAGGCAGAAACAAGCTATGGGAATGGATACCTGGAAGGGATAAAATCCAGAGTATTCTTGGCCCTAACACACTTCCCGATGGTCAGGAACTATTATTCTAGTATGCAGGTAAGGAAAGGAACTGTAGGAGAAACCAGGTACAGTGTGGGGACAAAGCCTGCCACACGTATTTTTACTTCACAAGACTCTTTAGTAAAAGAACACTGAATTCTGAGAAGTCTGTTACAGCTGCCTAGAGGCAGAGTCCCAACTCCCATCTCTCCGCATGCTTCACATTAACCAAGATAACACTGTAACAACTTTGAAACAAGAGAGGGACAGTTTTCAAATCTTGAAACCCAGAAGCCTTTGAAGAGTGTGGGAGGGTTTAAGAAGTTCTGTATCATTGAACAAGCCCAGCCAACAAGAACTAGGATCAATTAAGACTCAGAAGATCATCTCGAACCCCAGGAATGTTCTCTGCTTTGGGAATCTGGCTGGAGATAACTGCTACCACCCATCAGTTGTACGAATTATTTCACTTTAATTTTGCAAAATCCTCCAGCTGTCACAATCGCTTTTAAGAAAACTGCCTCAAACAGTATGAAAGTTGGATGCCGGCTCTAAAGTTGCTAAACAGGAACTGAAAGAAAAAGTCTGCTTCGGTCAAATGACTCTTTTGACTCCCTCAGTGACTCATATTACCTGCTAATCCAAGTTTTGGAGAAGCCTCACCAAGGAGCACTGCCAGAGCTGCTTTCGCGTCAGAACAAATCAATGGGAGCAACGGCACCGCTCAGAGCTGAACCCTGGCCAGGATTTGGGCCCTTGCGTCCCGTCACCCTCCCCTCCAGCAGGAGGGCGCTGGCACAAATGGCCTCCTTTGCAATGACAGAGTTGCTGTGTTCTGCTATAAACGGGGGACTCGTGCTTGCATGATTAGCATTGGGTGCTCAGGGCTTAAAACCAATATGCAAATATTCATATTTGCACGTTTCCATGGTGACTGTTCCCTTTCAAGGAAGCAGAAAATACAGGACAGGGTTTCCGAGATTGACTTATTATGCTCACCTCCTTTTTGGCAGAAGAAAGGGGAACCAAGTACTGAACCATGAGTACCAAGAACTTTATCGAAACTCATCTTTGGGAGTTAATGCTTCTAGCTCCATCTCAGTGAGATGGGGAGATGGAACCAACTGCTGTGATGGACCCTCTTATCGCAAACTTATACCAACACTTGGTGACTGAAAGAAACATCGGCAGAGGTTTCGATGTTAGCATTAAAACGTACAGGAACTACTCCAAAGTACAGCAGTAACACATTCTATTGAAACGCCAGCACCTCGAATTTGAATGAAAGAGTTATTCTGAAGGGAACTGTCCTTTGCTCTAAGGCAAATCAGCTGTATGGGGCCGCTTTTGCTTGTTAGCTCACCGATTATTTGCTCAGCTGACTTCCCTAAAAGGCTGGCCTAAGAGGGGGAAGGAAGACAGGCAGCGATTAGAAAACACCCGTACCACACCTTGCATTTGAATAAAAGATTTATTATTTTCTTCTCTGGAAAAAAACAGGAAGTTAGGGAAACACACTATTTTACAGCCCACATTAACTGGTAATTGGTCCTAACCCCTCCTGGCACAGCTGTCGACTGCATTAGCTGTTTAACCAGAACCAAGCTGTTCACCCCCGACAGAAAGTACGTGGACGGCGCGAGGACTGCAGGTTTTTCCCTGAGAGAAGCTGAGAGAGAAACTGCCAAGAGCCACCTTCCAAGCAGCCCCTCCCTTTCCACTTGGGCGGCTTTGCCTGGAGTGTGCAGCTGGTCAGCACTTCCAACACGTGCCTCCTCTCCCTACAAACCACCCTCCCTTCTCCAAAGCACTCGGGCACCCCGTTAAGCCTTGCAGCCCCTGACCCAAATTGCCAACTTAGACCCTCGTTCTTCCGGCAGTCACACCCAGTAAATAGGGACCCGGGGCCCCTAAACTCCACCAGTTTACGTCTATGCCCTTCTTTCCACAACTGGATATGGGGAGACAAGCCTTTTAGTCACCTTAACCAGATCTTAAGATTAATTTTAAAACTACATAAAGTGCTTTTAGGTCCTTAGAGACAGAAGTGATATAAATAAGTGGTTTATGATCAAGAACGATAAATACATAAGTAAAAATAGCCCTAGCTAGATGACCTTACAGAGACAGCGGGCAGGGCGTTCTTCCCCATTACATTCTTAGTCATGTTCTTCACGCCTATTTTTATCTGGAGTCCACAGACTAAAGGTCACGTTCTGAGGATGAAGCTCAGTTCCAACACTGGCGCTTTCTTCAGTTTACCCAGGAGCTTTATTATAGCACTCTGAGGCTTAACAGAGCCCTAGTTCTGTAATTTTAAGTGATCGCATTCAAATTCAAAGGAACCTAGGGAAAGTCATTTAAGATACCGTCCCCTCTGAAAATTCCTAAGGGGACTTTTTGAACTTTCCCCCTACAGGCAGGATGATAAAGCCACAACAAAAAGGAACACCTCCCACCTCACAACTGTTACTGTCACAGAGCCCATTGTACTATCACTTCCCATAAAATTCACAAAGGCTGAAGAGGTCTGTGGACTCCTGGAGGGAAGTTACTTAGCTCCTAGTGCCAAAAGGACATGGGCTGGAGTTCAGGGACGGCAGGGTCGGTATGTAGGGACTGATCTAAGTATCTGTAGAGGGAGATGAACAAACAGCAACTATTTCAAGAAGGGACAGGAAACGGTAAGTTCAACAGATTATCGAGTCTGAAATCTGGAGAGATGCCAGTGCAGAAATCTGAAACGAAGTTGGGGAATCATGAATAGAAGTGAAAATAAGTATTTACTTTATTGACGTACTAGGCTTAGACCTGTGTTGAACAAGCCAGCCTAAAATAGCACCATGGTTAGACGACAGCCTGCTTTTCCAAGCCATCATTTTACAACTTATTTAAGCAAACAAGGGATCAAATGTCTCTCACCCACCTGATGTGATCTTTTTATACACATACTGCTACTAAGTCCCATTTGGAACAGCTGAAAATCTTTTAAAAAGCTTTGCAGATGAGCTCAGGGAACACAAATCTCACTATTTAAGTTACGTCAAAGGGAAAGAACTCAAAGGAGTAGTTGCCCAATCAGAACCCATTATTTGTAAATCATTGGCCTCAGCCCCAACCCTTTAAACTCCACCTTGACTCAATTACTGAAAACCTGTGGGTGATGAAGTGAAAAGATTACTGTCCACCCCTCAATTTCTCAGCCCCAAATTAAAACAAAACAAGAAAACACCTATCTAAGGAATACTTACCAAAATCAGATAGGAAAATTAAAGACTGCATAGTTATGAATCAGAACTGTCCCACTACAACCAGGGTTGCATACAATTACATCGGTTGGTTCTGTATACAATCTAGAACTGACCAGGATAAAGTTTAGAATAGAAAAGCGCTAAGAAACAGTTTCCTAACTACAGAAGTGGTAAATTTCAAAAGGGTATGACAAAAATAACAGAATTCAATTTCCTCACTTTACATTTCAAAGAAATAGACTTTCTGTAAAAATATATACAATTTTTACAGACAAATACATTTATAAGTTGTCATCTTTAAAAACTGAGGCTGCTTCTACATTTGTAATTGTAATTATCGAGCCTGAAGTCAAGTATTATCGGCCATTCTAGGCTAACAAACTACGAATCATTCAGTCCATGCCAAAGTAGAACAGGTATAAAAGTCCTGAGCACTTGGACTTTGCAATCCTCAAGAAGCACACCTGGGAAAGCTAATAATAAAGAGGAAAAGCTTTTCTTCCTCTCTGTTGTACAGTACTGAGGCTTCTAGTCATAGTACTACTGTAGCTTAAATCCACTTTACACTCATCACTGGCATTGTTAGTGCTTCACTTTGAACACTCCAGGAAGTTATCGAATTCAGTGGGCCTATTTAATAAACTCTATGACTAGCCTGGCTACTGGCCACTCTCCTGTTCTAGACAAGGCTATCAAGTCTCTCCATCCTACCGTCTCCACTAAATCTAGTAAGTCCTCCTCCATGGCTACTCAAACAACTTTGCCTGTGGCTGAAACTGAACTTTGCTTCTTTCAGACAGTGACCCTCCAACGGCGACCATTTCCTCATGTATTTATTCCTGTTAGCCATAATCCTCTCGCCACTTGCTCTTCTACGTTGCTTGGAGGTTACAGCCTGGACAGCTTGAAGTCCAACTTCATAAATACATTGATTTCACAGTGGTCATATGTGGATTTGGCGCCTGGAGTGGGTTAAGAGTCAACTGTTTCACTTAAAAGGCTATCTTATTAGATATGCCAAACCAGCTCCCACGCCAGCAACACCTGCAAAGGCCAGCAGCACATTTCTGATGCCGCCTTCTAGGTCCTCTACGTGAAAGAACTCCACAAACCCATCCTAGAAAACAAAACAGAGAAGCACATTTTCAAGTATGGGGTTTCCACCCACTTAAAACCACTATTTACAAAGAAAAGATAAATTATCTTTAGCCCCCTCCCCCCACCCCTGTGCAACCATGAACCAATTATTTACCCTGGGCTGCAAAAGAGACACTTACTAATTCAATTAAAATGGGGGGGGAGGGGGCCACGGGGCGCGATCGAGAATGTTCTTTACTATTATTCCCTAGGTGACTCTTATTTCTTCATATGAATCCACCGGTGTGAAGAGTATCCAGCTTAATTACAATAAAATACCAAAAGCAAAAAAGAACCTCAACGACCAGTAAAATAGCCTACAGGAAGTCAGGATTTTTGATGCAACAATTCAAGACAGTCATATCACTATCTCTATGGGCTCACTACTTAAAATCAACATCAAGCAACCAGAGCCTGAAGACTGAGCTGTGAATCGTAAAAACCTTCAGCTACCCTCGCCTCTCTGTAAAGTCCTCCATTCCCTTTGCACTCCACGGCCCCTCTGAGGCCTTGAAACAAACTTACCCAGCCTCTTTGTTTGACTAGCCAGTCTCTTTTTGTCCTTACGAGAATATCTGTGATGCTTTCTGCTAATGGTTCGATGCAGCTTTCTTGGTTTATACTCTTCAAGTGTTTGGCCACAAAGGCACCAAAAGAAATAAGAGTCACAATCCTGCCCCAGTTTGTTACTCCGTCACTAAAAACGTGAACCATCACTCGAGATAAAGATTTGACGTCGTCTTCGTTTTTGATGTCCAGCTTCCGAAGCATGCCTGGGAGGGAGAGAAGCACGCGGGTTCTCACGGCCTTTGTCTACACCGGAGCGCGAGCCGCCTGCCCACCCACCGCGGGGGACTCGCTACGGCGGCTCTCTGGCGTTCGGGCCGACCCCACTTGAAAAGTGACATCCCACCCTTTCCGGGCTTTGAACAGAGCTGCTATTTCCAAAAGAATCGAGTGGGCGGAAACAATGACTCACGGCCAGAATATTCTGGTTTCAGAAATAGGATGAGCGTCGTTTCAACACTGACTCGTTTCGGTTTCCACCCACCCCGAGCCCCGGGGGAGAAAGATGACAAAGGCGGCGCGGCCTGCGCGACCACCCGCTTACCTTGGAAGGCCGTCTCGTGGTTGCGCTGCACGCCGTCCCCGACGCGCCGCAGGGTCTCCAACGCCTTCCGGCTGGTGGCCGCCGGCCCGCCCAGCGGCTTCGCGTCCTTGGCGCCGGTCGCCTGCTCCCGAAGGTACCGAGAGATAATCTGCAGCGACTGCCGGTACAGCTCGTCCTCCTCCTCCTCTTCTGATGGGGGCGGCGTGGAGGGGAGTGAGCCGTCCGTGCCGGGGCCATTACTGGCCTCCCCGACCAGCTCCAGCAAGGGCAGGACAGCCGGCCGCTTCCCGAGAGGCTCCGGCTCGTACCCGTCCAGCTCCTCCTCGGGCGACATGATGGCGTCGGCGGCCGGGACTTCCATCTCCTTAGGCAGCGACGCGCGGCGGGCGGGCGCGAAGAACAGCAGCCTCGAGGGGGTCGCGGTGACGTCGGGG